TGGGGCTCGCCGCACTCGACGCCCTCCATCTGGTCGAACGCCTTGTGCAGCGCGGTGGCGCGCTCCTTGAGGCCGTTGAAGATGCCGTCGTACTCCTTGCGGTACAGCTCGTAGCTGGGCTCGCCCTCCTTGGGGGGGTTGACCATGAGTTCGACGATGCACTGGCCGATGACGGGGGCGCAGAGGGTGATGGAGACGAACTTGTAGATGTTGGCCTCGACCTCGGGGTCGAAGTTGACGAGCTCGAAGTAGCCGCCGCGGTGGCCGCACTCGCCGACCATGCCCTTGGAGATGGAGTGGAGGGAGGCGAGCTCGACGCCGTCGTACTTGCCGCGGGTCTCCTTCTGCAGCCTGCGCAGGACGGACTTGAAGGAGTGGAACTTGCCGACGAAGACGTTGGTCTGGTAGACCTCGTCAGCCATGACGACGAGGTTCTTCTCGGCGGCGAAGTCGTAGACGGCGCGGATGTCCTCCTCGGAGAGGGACGCGCCGGTGGGGTTGCCCGGGTTAATGATAACGATCGCGCGGACATCGGTGCCCTCGCTGGTGGCCTTCTCGTAGGCGGCCTTGATGGTGGCGACGTCGGTACCCCAGCCGGAAGCCTCGTCGAGGTAGTAAGGCACGCAGGTGGCGTTCAGGACGGAGAGGGTGGCAGTGTAGAGAGGGTACTGGGGAATGGGGACGAGAACACCGGTTGTCGGGCCGGAGCAGATGATGTGCAGAAGGGTGTTGACGCCGGAGGAGGCACCGCCGGAGAGGTAGAGGTGGGCGGGATCGGCGGGGAACCCGTCGCGGCCTGCAGGAGAAATCTTTGTCAGTTATCACGTATACGGCACAGGATTCAGTCACAAAACTCACGCTCAATAAACTGAGCAATGCTCTCCTTGATCGCGGGGACACCAGCGCTAGCGCTGTAGGCGCCGACGGAGCCGACCTTGCTAAGGAGCCATTTGGCGCGGGTGATAACGTCGGACTTGTATCCGAGCTGATTCAACAGGACGTCCTCGTGCTCGAGCAGCAGAGGGTTCTCGAGGAGGGAGACGACCTGGCGGAAGAAGGTAATGGGCTTCTGGTCGAGCTGCTGGGGGTTGCCGATGTTGGCCGAGATGACGGCGTCAAAGGGCAGGTCCTTGTCGCCCTTGGCCAGCTTCGCGCGGTACTCCTCCGACTTCACGGCGAGCTCGCCACGGACGGCGTACTTTGCGGCGACAACATGCTGGTTGATGTTGTCGGCGTTCAACCGACGAGTGGGCGTGGAAGACATGGCTCGATGGTGGGGTGACGAACGAATGTTTCTGCTGCTCGAGAAAAGTTGCGCTCGGGATGGCGGGGTATTGGAGAGGAAGATCTTAGGGGACCGCGGGGTATCTATGTTAGAGTCATATAAAAGTTAGATAAAGGGCTTCTACCACGGTAACTGTGGAGATTTGATAGCGAGAGGAAAACACCTTTTGGCTACGACCCGGCAATAAGCGGAGCAGAGGTAAAGAGACGACGTGCGGATGTGAAGAACAAACAGTCCAAATTTTGAAGGAGATCTTTAAGAAGGTAGGTATGCAGCCACACTAATAGCTTTTTATTGTCCTCCTCCTGTTCTTCAGCGAGGGGGGGAGGCAAGCAATGACCCCCGACACCGAGCTTGGACGCGGGGGAGCTAGCTACTACACCGGATGGACACCCGATGGACGGTTCTCTTCTGTGTTTATTGATGGATTAAACGGGCAGAAGGAAGAGACAAGGCAAAATGGCCCAAAATCAGCGCACTTCCCTCCCGTCATCGTCCGATGCAAGACATTGCTCTTATTCAATGTCTTCAGGGTGAGCCGTAGGCAAGCTAGTCGGGCTTCCAATTGGGAACTGTCACACTGGGCCACGAGACACAGCCCTGCATCATGGAAAGGACCGGACGGCGGCGGGTTGAGTTGGACCTCTGACGGCCCCCTTGGTAGTCGTGACTCTTCCAGTGTGTGGGAGTGTTCGCCCCTCCTTGGCCATTCCCGGCAGCGCCAGCACTTGCTAGCTAGTCGCGCGTTCCCGACGGCAGACGAAGACGTGGATCAGACCCGGCAGTAGTTTGGTACGGGTTGGTTTTGCTTGCCTCGCCTTCGGGCTTGGGTTGCTTCAAAGGCCTGTGTCGGCCTGTGTCCGAAACCGGTGATCGGTGTGACCAGGGGCCAGCCGGGCCTGGGTCTTCAGTCTTGACTGAAAGTCCTAGCGGCTTCCGTGAGGGCATTTCAAGACGGCAAGCAACCAATGGCTGAGGGGAAGGAAGATGTGGGGTTCCACGTGGGGTCCATGGACTTGGATCGGGACTGATCGTTGATCAAGAATGCATTGTTTGCGCAGTGAAGGGAGGGTTTGCAGATGGCGTCCAAAAAGACAGGAAAAACGGGGTGCAACTCCTTCAGCTCGGGGGAAGCCGCGCTGGAGAGTCCCGAGCTGAATCTCCCGTCCAGTCTCTCTTGCTAAGGTTTCCGCCTGGCTTCTCCCGAAGCTGCGCAAGCTGCAAGCTCTTTGCACTGGCCAACCATGCAGCACCAGTAGCAGCAGGCAGCCCAGGGTTGGGACTCGGAGGAAACAAATATAAAAAGATGAAGCAGATCGACAAACAGGAATGGATAGAAAAAAAGAAAAATGTGGAGAGCTTCAACTTCAGCTTCACTCACATTGCAACGTACCGTTTGATCTGTGACTGCTCATCAGTCTGACTTGGCTCGCCGCCGTAACGACCTGCTTCCCTGGCGCTCCTAGCGACCTTGCTGTGCCGCCAACCACCCGGCGCGCCGCCACAGTCGAGCTCATCGTGACAATCGCTTTCGGAAGCGCCTTCTGAGCTCTCTCCTGCTGGAATGTCGACTCTCGATATCGCGGTTGGTATATAGCCGTTTGCAATCGTTCGGAACACGCTTGAAGTCGAAATAAGGCGACTGGCAAAAGTCTAATGAATAAAGAATATTCGCGGGGAAACTGCGTTCGTTCGCTGCGGCTGAGACGGCCAAATATCTAATTCCCCCGCGCGTGGTCTACAAAGAAGAAAGCATGGAAAAGAAAGAGTCAAAAACGGAGATTGTGTATCCTAACACTGGAAGCAGGCAAGATAGGATGGACGTCCGTTGCCCTTTATTTGCCCGTAGTCGCTCACCCATTTCCCACCACACCTACTTTACCTGCCCTTACTCCTCCTGCTCCTCCCCGGTACCTTACCTTCGTTGAGAGACACCACCAGCAGGTCCAGACATCTGCGAGATAAACCTACCTTCCTGGCACACTGGTTTTGCCAGGCTGGGTCGCCGACCTGCCCGCCGGCCTAGTCGGGGGTCCTCGCGATAAACCGCCCTTAGCTGCGGGCTTGACTCCGAATGGAAAGCTGGGGGTGTGTGGCCGCATGCAGGGAAGGTCGCGCAAACACTGCTAAAACGGCCTGAACACACACTTCTCTCTCACCGCACCAAGGCCACGCGAGCTATCGTACAGAATAAGCCCAAATGTGGACGTGGTAATTGGTTGTCAGGTAGATGTAGGTTCAGCAGATGGATGTGTATCCTGCAGGAATATACGCGAGAAAGCACTCCAAGGGCATCATCAACCCGGCTTGGACCAAATGTTGAAAGCGAGCTCACACATTGGAGGTCTTTACGGATGCCTCTCTTAGGATGCCGCCGTCCGAATGCACCGGTGCGGCGGGCGACGGCCCCTTCAATGCTAGGACCCTGCAAGCTCTGCCAAAAGTTCCAGGTCCCGGGTGAGCTATTGATGGAAAGGCTCCATCGACATCTGCAGAGACCCTGAAGGTCCACCGCCCACCTGCCTCCGTTACTCGGATTCCAGACTCAAACGTGCTTCGGCGACTGGTGAATTCGGCCGTGATGTTTGGCGCCGTGTCCCGCCGCATCTTCGCACCCCGTCAAGTCGTCATTCTGATGCCGCGTCTCACCCCTCTTTGCTTGGCTCCTCTGAGAAAGGTCACTTGATTCGCGTCGTGTCACAAAGTCAATCATCCACAGGAAGGTACCGATATTTATCGACAGAGAGATATAATTAGTTGAGACATGATGTAGACTTCACCCGCAATCGGGCCGGATGGCCCCAGTTGGCTCCAGCTGGGGCGAGAGCGACTTCAATGTGGGCAGACCGAGCTCTCACCGAAGCTCAGCCCACTAAATCTCGGTGAACGGCCCTATTTGCACCGAAAGCTCTCACCACCGCAAAATTCCCGACTCCACGGTCAATCCACGTCCACCTTGGTCGCCAGCAAGCTTCAAGCGCCCATCCCCCGCCACGACCCCCAAGATGGCCAAGAAAGGTACGTCTTCCCGTGCAAGCCTTCAGAATCAAAGGTCACGATCGCTGACATCTCGACAGCGAAGTCCCGTATCGCCATCGTCCGGCTCGTGTCTATGGCCGCGACCGGGTTCTTCTATACCTTCAGGCGGCCCAGAACGGCTTCACCCATGAGCATGCTGAAATACGATCCGATCGGTACGGATTCCCCACGAGCTGTTATGCGCGCTTCCTCGCCTGGCGCCAGAGCAAGATACAACACTTTGAATGGAATGCCGAGCTAACACTTCCACAGTCCGTCGGAAGGTGCTGTTCTTGGAAGCAAAGAAAAAGGGCAAATGAGCTATCCGCTTGCCTGAGTCGATTCTACCTGTACCAATACTGATAACATCACAAATGGCGTTCACGGCGGTATGCAGTTGGTTTTTGAGGATGTCATGACACGGCCACGCAATGCGCCATCGGATTGCACCCTTTACAGAGCATCGAGGAGGTTAGGAAGTGGCACGGGATACCGAAACGCAGAGACTTATGATGGCATGGGCTTCAGTTGCCACGATCTAAGTGCATATTCTACCAAAAGCCACCAAAAAAGTCTTCCACAAATCCCACCAAACTGACTTTGCTTTCTCGATCTGTGCTTGACCTCCAAAAACAGTAGCGCCGCCGCAAGCTGCATATCAATGTGGTTCAAAATTTCACCGCCGTCGCAGTGGTTTCTAAGTCTTGACAGGAAGCTTGGAATAAGTTCGAGTAATGTTGCGACGTCCAGTTGAAGACGGGCCATCTTGGGACGACTGAGGAGTCTTGCCCGCAAGTGTTGGTCTTGACTGTGGTTGATGGTCATTCTTCGCCGATGTGCCCTTTTGGAAATGGCGCGACATGGAATAATTGTCCTGCGACTCGGTCGACAGGGCTTCAGTGCTGGCCCTGGTGCTTCGCTCCAAAGCTGAGCTAGTAGGCTGTCCGGCGTTCTCCAAGCGATCAGTGAAAACGTCATCGCGATCCCTGGGGTCACTGACGTGCTTGATTTTCTTGATTTGTCGGTCCTGTGGCGGCTCGGTTCGAACTCGCTTGTTGCCTTTATGCTCTATCCGGAAATCAAGAAGCTGCGGTCTCGGCAGCTTGCGGCTACTAAAGGAACTGAACTGGGCGTATGAGATGGTATCTCGACTTCCGACTGGCCGGTTATACTCAGTGTGGCCAGAGTGAGTAGAAAGAGCACGTTCCCGGGCCGACTCAGCAGTATTTGTAGATGCTGCCGTTGGCGTATAGCTCGAGCCTGGTCGAAGAATGCTTCTGGGTTGAGACCCCTGGCTTGTTGAGTTGTGTCGCTGCGCTCTTTCTTGGGAAACCGAAGGCGCCGCTAATTCGGTGTCTGCTGCCTCAACGGGACTCTTCATCAATATCCTCTTTCGTTGAAGGTCCTCCTCCAAGATGTCTCCACTCTTTTGCTGGCTGTCTTCCTCCAAAATACCATCCGACGAGCTTGAGCTGATTTCGAGAATGTCCTTCCAGTTAATTGGATCTGTGCATGGCACCTCGGGAAGCTCGGGTTCCTCGTTATCATTGCCAGTGTCTGCATTGCTTGAGGCCCCAGAGTGCTGCTGCTCACTCGAAGCATGACTGTGTTCTTTATCATGGCGCAGACTGTTACTAGGTTCAGGGGCACCAGACTTTCCTCTGGAGAGATCCTTCCCGCCGGCTTGCATGTCTTCCATCAGTCTGTGGCACTCTTTGACCATCTTTAGCTGATCTTCCAATTGTTGGGCTGTGAGGTCATTCGGGTTCGCAATAATTGATGTTGTTTGTGTCTCGCGAATCTTCATGGTAAGGTTGGTGATCCTCTGTTCAGCAACTTTGAGGTCCTTTTCAGCCTTTTCAAGCTTTTCCTTTTCACGCTTGCAGGTCTCTGCGCTTTCCGCCTGGAGACGAGCCTTTTCGGCGAATAGCTCGTCATGCTTTTGCTTCAGCTCCTGTTGAGCTTGTTGTTCCTTTTTCACCGTCTCCTCCAACTCGCGTTGCTTTACGTCCGATGCTGCATTGAATTCGCGCTCTGCAGAAGCTGTCTTCTCCGCCGAGCTCATAAGAAGGTCTTCGGTCTTTTTCAAATCGTCTTTGGCCTTTTCCAGCTGCTTCTCAAGGTCCGTCTTCTCAGACTCGTAGGCCGCGCGCTGTGATTGGAGTTCTGCTCTCAGTTGATTGACTCGAGTCTGGCTGGTATTCAGACTCTCCTGGGCTTCCTGAAGTTCTGTTTCTGAGGCAGCTCCTTGCGCAACTGAGTCCAGAGCCTCTTCAAATCTCTGCAGCCTCTGGCCCATCTCGGAGACAGCCTTCGTCAGCTCGGTAACCTGTTTGTCCTTGGTGTCGAGATTCTGTGCAAGCCTCGCGTTCTCGGCGCTCTTCTCGGTGATTTGCTGCTGCTGCTGTTCCTGTTGTCTCTTTTGCTCGGCCTCGGCAAGGCTCGACTGACTCTTCAAGCATTCCTCCAAGCTTTGCATTTTGCCCTGAATGATATCTTGCCCCTTCGTCATATTAACCATCTTTTCACCAATCCTGAGAAATCGTTAGTCAAGCGTCTCAAGGGAGTAAATGTAACACTAACTTGGATGTCAGCTGTTCTTGGAAGGCATCTAGGGCCTTTCTGATCCCATCGTTGTCCTCTCGTGACGCGCGCTGCGCAAATTCCGCTATTTCATCAAGCCTGCAATCGTCAGTTACGCGGGAAAATGTCTTGCAATGCCACGCGCTCACTTTTTCACAATCTGAGGCGGCACCACATCGGCCTTGTCGGACTTCTCAGCCAAATTCTCAATACCGGTGAAGATCTTGGCCATAATTGCTTCAATCTTCTGAAAGCGGTCGTTGCTCTGCTTGATCTCGGTCAGCTGGTTGTCCAAGCCTTTGGCCTTCGCTTCTGCCCCGGACAAATGTTCTTTGAGCGTTGTAAAGTCGACCTGCAAGTCCTTCAGGGCCCTTTTCTCGTTCTCGTAGGCGTCTCGCTTCGCTTCTAGCTGCGCCTTCAGCCCTTCGATGGTCACTTTCTGTTCCTCCTTCAGAGCCATTAGCTCGAGCTCTGTTTGTTTGCTGGCCTCTTCACGATGTTTCCGGTTTCGGCCCGCCTCCTTTTCGATTTCGGCCTCAGCTCTGACTACATGCTCCTGTAATTCGGACTGTTTGATCCTAAAACTTTCAAGCTCAGCCCGCATTTTGCTGGTCTCAGCCCGAAGATGATCTCGCTGCTCTAGCACACGATTCAGTCTGTTCTCCTGGTGTCTCATCTGAGCGGCCCGCTGCTGTGAGTCTGCGGCGAGTTCGTTGTAGCTTTTCTCATACTGCAATGATTTGTCGACAAGACTACTGTGAGCTAGTTGCATGCTGTATACTTGCTGCTCCAGATCTTGTTTCTGCTGCCAGAGCTCATCAATTGTTTTGCGAGACTCCGCCTCTGTTGCTTCCAATCCATATATCATCTCACAGATTGATGAAAGGTTAATGTCTTTCGATCGTTGTCCACTCCGCGGGCGGAGGAGGTCACCATTCACTTCTCGATGACTGCTCCGTGACCTGTCTTGAGTACGATTCCTCCTTACTTTGGAGACATTTGACTGCCGTGATGGTACTCGGGGGGCAGAGACGCAAAGATCTTCTTCTCTCAGGGGTCGGGATTGCTGTTCCGAATTGTGAATGTCCCCACGTCTTGGCTCTCTATCACGTCGAGATGCATGCTCGCGCCTCTGAACATGTCCACTGCGTGGCATGCGAGTGCTTCTGGGTGTTTCGTTGCGCCTTTCTGCATGGGCACGGTTTGGCGTGGGCCGAGGGCCTTCCAGATCTCCTACGGGGGTACTCATGCGCTGCCTCTGGGATTCGACCGATTCGAAGTGCTGTTTGCTCGCTTGAGGCAGACCGTTTTGACGCTCAGGAGGTGTTACATTAACCCCTTGATCAGTGGGCGAGCGGATGGTTGTGGTATTGACTGCTGCTGGAGGGTCCATCTGCGGAACAAGGACAGGCCGTCTGACTTCGCGGTCTTTCTCCTGCTTCCGGCGTGTGCTTGTGGTGGCCACTTCCATATGGGGTATTTCCTGGACCTGTTGACGGCCTAGGCCACCAGGCAAGCTATTGTCCGCATCGTGAAAAGGACGGATTCCCAGACCTTGACTAGGTGCTGAATTTTGTTCCAGCACCGTGGGCCGCTGGCGAGATCTTATCTTGACTTGGGCTGGTTGACCATCCAATGGAACTAAGTCCCCCTCCTTGGAAGAATTGACTGAAATTTGGCTCTCGACATTTGTGTGGTCTTTACCCGCGTCCGCGGTCTTCCCAGAGTGGACCTCATGAACGGGGGAATCGTTTGCATTCTCGGCATTGACATTGGTACTTATTCCATCAGACTGTTCCGTGTCCTTGCGATGGCGGCCACCACCGTGGCGCCGACCTGACTGTTCTTGGTGTTGGTGCGAGATGGACTTCGGCTTCTGAGGGTGTTCGTCTTGGAGACTAGCTAGGTCTTCCAGATCTTCGAAATCTTCAGCATGAATGGGCAGTCTTTGCTGTGGCCCCGAGAACTGATTGGGCTTGAACTTCGGCGGACGTGCAAAGGGGAGTTCTTCGACATCGTTGGTAGCCTCCATTTCTGATGCATCAAGTACCATGCCTGAATCATCGTGACGGTTTGTACCCGAGGGGCGGTGCTGCCCATTCTTGCCATGATGGCCGATGATGTTCAGGTTCTGCTGCATGCCATCTTTCTTTCGCCGCGCTGAAGGAGGTCCGTCGGTGGATGGCGAGACTCTGCTGGAACTGTCACTCGGCAGAGAATGGCTAGAGCTGGATCCCCTGGGAAGAGACCCTGTCATTGTCGAAGAAAAGGAGTCTTGGGGTGCCTCAGAGATGGGATCGGGGCTGGATTGACCACTCATGCCGCGGAGGTTGGCGGAAAGCCTCGCACCGCCGAGAAACCGTGTTCAAGTCGATTATAGCTGTGTTCCAAGGAAACATGCAATGTTTAGAGCAGGAACAAGGGGTTTGGAAAGCAAAACGGGACAAAAAGGAACGAAGACGTCGCCAAATGACGATGCTCCGGATGGATTGGGAGTAAATGAGTGGGCGTCGCTTAAAGGCTCAAGGTGTAAAGGGATGGGACGGCGATCTGTGGGCAAGATGCTTTCCATCTACCGGAAGGTATGTCCTAATGAGTAAGGTATTTGGATGACTGCCAGAAATTCTTTGGAAGGTACGACAGATGGTCACACGTGGAGACAGAAGTCACAGTGGACGACCAGACGGAGTGTTCTTTCTTCTGTTAGAACGCAAAGGAAGGCGTGGCCATGCGTTAGGGAGGAACTCATCGATCCGCACTCACCACATGCAGCTTCTCAATGCCATCGCAACTTCCTGAACAGGTGCTTGTGGCGATATCCTGCCTCATTATTTCCAGAATAATACCATGTTCACTGCAAAAAAGAAGGCGATGTGTCAATAGCTTTCCCTTGTCGAACAGAAACGCACTCGCGCCTCCTTTGAGTTAGCTGTGAGATAGCCTTCCCCGACATATGCAAGCATTTTCCGGAGGGAGTATCTACCATGACAGGCCATCAGCGTTCCTTCTTATCAGTGCAAAGTTGACAATACTGAAAGCGGTCTTCGGTATATGGCTGTAGAAGAAACTGCATCCATGAAAGGCTGTTACGAGGAATAAGTCGGCCCGTGACCATCAGCGAATGGCCTCCGAACTGAATTAGACCAATGAGACACGGGTTTCCTCTCGTGAGGCATTGTGAGAAATTGCATGTCTGTTAGTCGGATGCTGCTTGAATATCGATGCTATGCTGCTTGAGGCTGCTTGCATCAATCCGAAGATCGTGGAATAACATATCGGTGCGTGGTGAACTCAGCATTATCGTTCCACAGCCATCAAGACTGACCTAAATCTGCAACACCGGGTAACTCAAAGTCCGAGGGCAGTACTGCAGGTAAGACAGACGAGAAGGCCTCTCGACCTCCGACCCGGCGATCCACCTCCGATATTCAGGGTTTCTTGAGTGGTCGACACGGCCCCAGCACCGAAACCCCAGCTTGAATGGTCGTCCGCCGAGGCGATCGGCCGAGGCCATGGTCCATTTTTAGAATCCCGACGTGGAAGCCAAGGAATGCCAAATACACCAAGAATCTGACGGGAAAAGAGACTGGCGGCAACTGATACTTTGAGGGCATCATCGCCAGACGCCGAATGAAGGCCGAATCTTACGGCCAAACGATGCGCCGTGGAGTGCATGCATTGCTGATTCCCTCCGCTCTGGTCATCCTGATATCCTCGCAAGCGTCGTCGTGATAGTGACAGAGCGTGCATAAGCCATCACAGACAACGCTGAGCGAGCAACCAACAGAGACTTCGCGATAGAAAACCACAATCACCAGCCAACGGCCCATCACACCGCATGCTCGTCGAGTCAACAAGATGCGCAGCCCCTCCCCATCACACAGTTAAGCTTGTCGATATTGCAGCCACTGCCGTAACCGGCTGCATATGAGTGCCCATCGTCAAGCGTGCAGGCGTGCTATGCAGGTGGTGAGAATAAGGAAGCCGGGGTTGATTCAGGTCCCCCCCTGGCCCCCTGAAATTCGTGCCGCCCGAATCCCAGGCTCCGCCCGCTGATTGGCTGCCGCCCCCCGGCTCCGATGTGAAAGCGCCGTGTGCCGGCGCTTCGAGGCTGCTCAACACCAATGGGAGCATCGCGAGCCTATTTCGACCGTCTTGGGCCCAGACATCCCATTGGCAACAGCAGGGTGTCTCAACACGGTTCCTGCTTCCATACGTGCCCCACGTCACGCTCAACTGCCGTCGTAAAGCACATGCACTTCCACGGGGGGGCCATTCTCGTTCATCACATTCATTGCTTTGAGGGGAATACGCTGGTAGGCTGGTTGCAGGAGAGGGGGGAAACCATTGGCGCTGGGCTCCATCAAAGGGTTTTCTCGGCGGTTGAACATGTAAATACTGAGTTGGGCCACATTCGTGGCGCCGGGTATCTCTTCGATTTTGTTCAGCTTTTCTCTCTACTCATACGATTCTGACGCCGTTTTTTCCTTTTCCAGCCTGACTGTGCCTCTTCTTCCCGCCAACATTTTGAGTCTGTACACTGGTCCCTCTCTGAGAGCGGTACGCAGTTGAACACCATGGCGGCCACGACCTCCAATTACTTCCCTTTGGCGACCGAGACCTATTATCCTGATGCCGCCGGCGATGCGAGCGGCTCAAGCGGCGTTGATAACGATGCCGGTGCTGCTGGAGACAGCCCCGGCGCTGTCGGGCTTTCATCCCAAGCCATGATTGCCATCATCGTGGTTGTTTCCATCGTTGGTGCTCTCGGAAGTATGTGGACCCTTTTTGAAAACAAAACACCTACGCCTTTATGAAACCATTTTGCTAACCAGCCTTTACTTGTACAGTCGGAATGGCTGTGTTGTTTTACATCGCCAAGAAGCGCGAGTGGAAGATTAGGGAGACCATGCGCAAGTCGGCCAGGAAAGTGGTTACCGCTCTCACGCCGCGGAGGACCGAGTTTCCCAAGTCAGTCAAGGAGTCGAACTCGCCACCACGCAGCCACCGCGGCCGCGCTAGACTTGACGATGTGCCCCCAACGCCGAGGCTCCGTCCAGAGGACCTCGAGAAGGGACTGGTGCAGGCCGAGAAGAAGCGGAAGCTGATGAGATGGGGTCGGAAGTAAACCCTAGCTGAAGGGTAGGAATGATATGTCGGGTAGAAGACCGCCAACTGGCTTGGTGCCGGTGTAATGGGTCGTTTGATGCGGGGTTTAGAAACTGGATGATTGACGAAATTTGGCAGCCGGGATCTGCTCGAGGGATAGAAAAGCCCTTTCTTGTACCATTACTTGAACCCTGGGATACTCATAGCGGTTTCTTATAGCCTTCTGAATGTGTTCGTGCTTGCGCTTCTTCTCGCGTCAAACCTCTTCTTCTCCTTGGGTGCGCTCTCCTCTTGTTGCTGGGGCGGGCCACGGCCCTTCTTCTTGTCCGGGACGAACGTGACTTGCTTCTCGCCGAAAGCCTCTCCACGGTTCATCTTGCCGATGCGTCCCGACTTCTGCACACGGGAACCCAACGCGGTGTCCCTTTCTCTTCCTCCATGCTTCTGGTTGGAGGAAGACACCTTCATCGTCATCTCTGCTGCCCGGGATTGAGCCTTCTTGCCCAGTCCTACCTTGGGTGCCTCAGCAGGTCTGGCAGCAGAGCTGACACCCACTTCGTGAGTATCCGGAGCGGCGACGGCGGTGCTTGGGTTGAGAGCGCGGAACTCGTAACTGGTCTCGTCGACGGCGAAGGCCTCGTCCTCGAAGAGCTTGGCAAAACGCTCGTCGCCCAGTACACCAGCCTTGGTGTCCACGACCTCTCTGTTCTCCTGTCTCTTGAGCAGCTTGTCGGCAAGCTTCTGGTTGACCTTGACCTTCTTGTTGCCTCTGATCCTGCTGGCGCGCTCCTTCTCGACCTTCTCTTGGATGCGCTTCGTCCTCTCCTCCTCCCAGACATAGGGGTTGGCGATGAGCCGTGCCTGCTCGTAAAGCTTGGAGGCCACAAAGTATCCGTGCATGTATGGCCTGAGAAGATTGGTCTTGCCGATGAGGTGCTCCATGCTCAGTTGCTTGAGTTCGGGCAGCGTCAAGAACTTGTAGTTATCATAAGTCTCGGTGCGGACCTCCTCGGCCATCTCCTCGACCATGTTGTCCAAGAAGGAGCACCATCTCGGAGCCGGACCCAGGCTGGGAACGAAGAAAGAGTGCTGTTGCTTGCCTTCGTTGGCAGTTAGAAGCATACCAGTGTCCTTGCACCAGGCACTATAGTATGGTTAGCAAAGTCATTCCACCGTCCGGCCTCTTAGACTTACATGTCGTTGATGTCCACAATAGGCTCAACCGATGTCCAGGGCGTGCCGTCCGTCTCATCCCAAATCTTGATGATTCTCTTGTCGGCGGACAGAACCTTCTTCTCCTGAGACGCAGTTTTCATGTGAATCAACTTCTTGATCGGGAAGCCGTACCCTTGGTCCTTGGTGAGAAGAGGTACAGGGCGACGCAGATCAAACAGCTGAACCATGCCGTTGGCAGATCCAGTGGCAATTGAAAGGCCTGAGGCGTTGAAGTCGAGTGCAGTAATTGCTCCCTCTTGGCAACCAAGACGTGCAACTCTAGACTTCGACCTGGCGTCCCAGAATTCAACAGTGCCAAGCGACGTTCCAAATGCAGCCAGGCCATGTGACTTCTCAGCCAAAGCAGCAGCGTTTACACTGCCGGCCTCGATGCCACCTTGCAAGCCAGCTCCCTCTTCGTCTCCACCAACATCAATCTGGAACGACTTCATGAATCTTCCAATCTCGAGATTCAACCGGAACACTTCTCCCAATCCGTCTGCATCAACTCCGACGGCCGGTACAAGGGCCTCCGCCGAATGCCTGTCGTACAGCAAATCTCTTCCATACCGAGGTATCCTGATCGTGTAGTGGCAGCCCATCGGGGTGTGGAACTCGAGTCGTCGGTCATCTTGGAGAAGCAGAGTCTTTGAGTAGTCGGAAGAGAGAATGGCCAACTTCTCCGTGAGGGAGTTGGTATGACGCGCGAACGAGAGAGACAGTTGCGGCAGGTTGTGGACGTGGATTTGAGGTTTGTAGGTTCCGGCACTGACGGCCCAGTCACCATCCTCGCTGACCTGGATGCATGTGCTCGCCTCCTCGAATTCGAAATCCTGCAGAAGCTCGACTCGGTTTGCGTATTCGGGGTCGTTCTTGAGTGATCTCTTTCTGCGCCTGGCCAACCAGTCGGGCAAAGGCCTTGCTGTCGAAGCACCAGAGATGGTGTAAACCGGAACGGTGCCGGGGTTTGTCAATTGCATCTTGACTGGGGAGGCCGGAGACGGAAAACACTGATCGGTCGGTCGGTTTCTGCGCGACGATGCGACGAAGGACGAAGGAAATCTGCGACCGAGGGGAGCCAGAAAAAAAAAGTTCTGATAAGATAAGAACGCGGTGGCCGGTGCGTCGGTGGGCGGGAGCCACACCTGGCCCACCAGCGCGGACTTCTCGGTGAGGCGGTGGAAAAGTAAGTCCTGTTTCCGACCGGCCCCCCGCCGAATCAGGCGACGCTGCATTAGCGTGTATCCCGACCGCTGGACAGGGACTTTTGGCGGGTGGGCAGCAGTGATTGGCTGAAACCGCGTCCGTCTTCCGATCCAACAGGACCCTGTTAGTGCACTATTACAGGCGTTCAGCCGAACGAACTGCTCCCTGAGGTTCCAGTCTGCTTGCCAGTGACCGTGCTGAACTGAATTTCCGCCGCTATCCCAACCCGGCCAGACCTGGTTGCTGAACACGCAGTAATCGTTGCGAAAGACCCGACAACCTCCCCCCCAACGACGACCTCGACGATCGAGCATCGACGCTTCCCGGTGCTCCATCATCTCGATAACAACCGCCTGGAAACTTCTATCGCATACTTCCCATCGGTACTGGACCAGTCTTGGATTCGGTTGATGCCGAGCAGCCGGTACTTTGGTCGCGCTTTCGACCCACGGAGATGGAGTCGATGACTTCGCGAAATCCAGCAGACAACCCTTCCGAAAGCTCCTTGAATCGCTTATTTTGCTCCAATCGATGCCAGAAAGACGTTGATATTTTATGACTGCATTTTCTTGGATTTCAACCGGCTCCTGCAGCCTCCGGGAGCTTTAGCGACTGAGGGAGTTGATGTTGCGACACGGATCGAATCCCGCATTTGCGAGACTTGACCGTCGACATGGACACGAGCGAATACGATACTAATACCTTATTAAATGTGCGTCGCATCACTTCCTACCTAATTTAAAGTGGCTGACTTACCTCCTCCAGAATAACATCTCCTCGATCGTTTTCCGAGTTTACGAACCTTCTCAGGAGCACGCGCAAACCTTCCCCTCGGCTGCTGCCGATGTCGAGACCGAACTACGGAACCGCGGCCACATCGTTTACTATGATGCGACCAGGCGCGTGCTATGGTATTTCCATGTGCCGGGGAAAGGAGCGGCGGCTACCGACGACAGTAATGGGGCTTTGGGCAACACTATCGAAGTCGAAGGTGCGACACTGTTGATGGTCGAGGATGGTTCATTCGAACCGGTCAGTTTGTTCAAGGGACGCGCGCCGGGCCAGCAAGCTGCGAATACCCCCACAAGCTCTTCATCAAGTAACTCGGCCCTTGACCTGTCACTTCGGAATTCGCAAAACACAGGTTCTGGGCCGCCAAGCTCTTCCGATCCCGATTCAAAGCCCGCCTCAGCCGGAGGACCCGAAGCGAAGGGTACAGGCTCTGTGCCTCTGAAGGATGCATACGAGCATTTTGTTACGGCTCTCTTGTCAACCGTTTCCGCAGCATTCTGTATTCGCATTTGCGCGATACCTGTCAACTACCGAACGGTCCTTTTTCCCGCGCAAGTCTCCCGCGAAAACCAGTCCGACCGAGCTCTCGATTCCGATTCAGCAGTCGTCGGAACCTTCCGCATTTATCTGACGACCACGGGTGCGTTGGTTATGAGCTTGTCATTGTCGTGTTGTGAAGGTCTACTGTCGGTGAACGAGCCATCAAGTCCGGGGCAGATTGTGTTAGGCTCTCAGATCTTGGCGGCCCCGTTCGGCGTTCTAGCGAATTATCAAGGATTCATGGGCGGCGGCTTATCATATCCAGAGCTTGGTCTTGGACAAACTCCAGATACTCAACTCTGGAGGGGCGCGGATGCTAAATCATCGCAATGGAGAGACACATGCATCAAGATCCTCCAGTCCCGTGGGCTGTCCCCAACGTTGCTTCAGTCTTGCCCCTGGATAGCACTTCAGATGATCCGCCGAAAATCAGGAGACGGCAAATCAACACCACTCCCGTCAACAATGGCTACGATATCATGGCCGGCTGCCCTCTGCTTCCGCAAAAAGTCAGTGATCCTGGCGCGAAATCATGGTCTAGGAGATACCGCATTGCTGGCCCACGAGGAGACTGCAGACTTTCTAAGCGAAGCTAGAACCTGGTTTCAGCTCGGAACTGACAGAGAAGAAAAAGTCACCAAGCGGAAAAAGGAGAGGGAGACTGCGGCAACAAAAGAGACTCCCGCGGCCGTCCCACCACAGCAACCCAATGGACATTCGCCTTTAGGTTTAAGGCGCGCGAGCAATGCAGCGGCCGTAGGTGCAATGTATCCGACCCCTCCTGACGGGGTTCAGAATCCTCTCGGAATCACGCCCTCCCTAGACGGCACCACCTCCAGCCCAGGGGCTCCGAATGCGACTGTAGCCATTGTCGATATCGATACCGCCATGGCAGATGTCACCATGCCTGAGACTGCGGTGCCGCACACCAGTCAACACAACGAATCGTACGGTGATGGCGGATGGAACTCGAATGACAACAAGCCAAGAGCAGATTCATTCCTAGGGGGCGAGAGCGACAACCTCTTTGGAGACATGGGCCCGGATATGTTCGGTGATGCCGACATAACGGACGCTGACTTCAGCTTCTTTGATGAGCAACCCGGCGACGATCTAGACCTCTCGGGTCTCCCCGATATGGGCATGTCAGATGCACCTTCGATGCCTCCAGTGCTTCCGCCTCCGCTGCCTGAGCCTGCGAAAATGGCTGCTCCCCCGATTGAGTATACAAAGCCCGAGCCGAGCCCACCAATTTTCACCAAGCCCGAACTCAAGCATGCCAGGAGCACACTCATGGACGAGGGAAAGCAAAGACCCAGCACAGAAAAGGCAGCCGGTACCAAGAGAGAGTCGAGCCCTTTTGGCCCCGATACCGTTTACAAAAGGGTCCGGGCATCCTTGGGAGACATCGACTCTGCTCCAAGCAGAACACCTTCAAGGAAAGGCAGCGTCTTTGACAGCGTAGGCTTCGATCCAGTGCTTCCCTCTGTCAACAAAAAGTACGAGCAAGGGGGCCGTTTTGACTGCAAACCAGTCACCCGCGGGTTGGCGCAAGAGTCGATCACGCAGCCTGGTTCTCAAGGCCCGCCCACAACCGACTACCTACGAAGACACGGGAAACAGAGGAAGCAGTTGAAGCACTCAGAGCAAACGAGTGTGGTCATCCGTACGATTACCGGCGGTCTGGAAAACGCAACCTTGAACACGAGTCCTGCCAAGATGGATGACTTCGCATCCGATGCGGACGATGTGAGCTTGGTGTCTGACCAGGATGACGCAAGCTCAACGACAGATGAGCCAGCGTCTCCGTTCAAATCAAGCATTAGAAGACTGAATTTCGACGACGATGTGGTTTCTCACGTTACCTCGTTGAAGGACATTGAGTCTGTCGAAGACTCTGATCCCACCTTAGCCTTGGAACTCCCTAAACTAGCCAAGGTCGAGGCAACAGAGGTGTCGATAACAAAGTACTTTGAGGATGCTGAGGCACTGCCGATTCATCTTTCACTAACAGATGAGGACATGGTGACAATCGCTCAGATTGTGACTGAGCAAGCGGTCACTGGTAACTTGAAAATCCGCGATTCGCAAGCCAACACTCTGAACACGGCCATTATATCAGAAACTCGTCGACAGCTGTCATCATTGAGTCGCACCGCTCTACAGACTCTGCGAGAAGTTGTCCCTGCTTGCCTCGGCGAGTTCAACACCTGCAACTTCAAAGGTGTCGTGGAGGTCCCTGACGTGCCGTTGCTGGGGCAGCCTAACAGGATGCACCCAAGGCCAGTTCCGCAGAGAGATTCGAATGCTGAGCCGCCCAAGCCCAACAACCTTTTCCAAATCCCTGCGCCACACATGGAACTCCGCCGCGCAGAAGCCAGACTGTCGGTGCTTCCGTCAAGCGTTCAGTTTTGGGAAAGCTTGGGTCTCGGCCCTGCCCAAGGGACGAAGAATGTCAACGTTGTCTGCGTGTTTCCGAACTGGGACGGCATGACAGATGTTGCCGCAGCGTTCCTAGATCGGATGCGCAATGTCTATGAGCTGCTGAAACTGGGCTCGTTCGAGCGCCTGCCCACGAGCTCAAAGGTGACCGACGGGCTGATGCCATTCGAAGCGGACAAGATTGCTACTTCTCCGGGCACGGTCAGCCCTCACATTGGGTCAGGTCTGGATGATCGCATGGAGGCCTTGAATCAGGGGCTCTTGTCAGCAAACGTGACGGAGAAGAACTTTGTTGTGTACTTCGTGTACCCTCCGGATCACCCTGGGTCGATCGTGGAGGAATGCACGGCGTTCCAACGGCTCTTCGAGATGCACAAGAGGTCTTTGACTGACAGGAGACAAGCGCCTGTCAATGAACTTGTTTTGCAGCTGGTTCCTCTAGATTTTCTGACTTCTCCTGTGGGCATCGTTGAACCAACACCAAGCGACGCCATCAAGCTAGCGATAGAGACGTATGATCGATGCACATTGTTCGGCGGGCCAATGCCCTCGCCAGCTATCATGCTGGAGCAGTCACTACCACGAGGCATCGATTTCAAGATCTCCAATACCTCCTCGTCTTCGGTCATGCACGAAAACACCTGCATGCACATCGCTTATGCACAAAGCATTGACGAGAGGTGGATTACAGCAGCATGGACCGACAACAGGGGATGCCAGCAAATGACGGCGTCTTACAGTCTTGGGCGCAAAGGCAAGCCACTTTCAACGTCTCTTAACGATGTCTACCACGAGATATGGGATACGACACATGATTTAATCTCCAAGTGGAAGGTACACTGGCGGATCATCATCACAAAGTGCGGGCCCATGGACCAGCAGGAAATCGGTTTCTGGCAAGGTCTCGCGCAAACCGAGTCGATGGCCTCGATGAGCCTGACGTTGATCTCGGTCGACACAAACCCGTCTCTACAGTTGCTTCCTCCGGCAATAAAAGTACCAGCGACAGCATCGTCAGCATTCTACACCACCCCGGTGTCAACACCGCAGGCATCAATACTCTCTCCCGAGCAAAGTGGGACGCCCGCCACACCTATGAAGGAAAACAACCCCGTAAACGCCGCGACGCCGGGAGGCACCCCTGGTGACGGCAACGCGGAACCAGCCGAAGGTGACGCCATTCTTCTTGATGTTACGGATCAAACGTGGGGTGCCGTGCTTGCCCATCGACTCAGCAACTCGTCAACCCTCGGAGAGCTCAATCCTGCTATAATCAGTGGGTATCTAGTCAAACGCGGCGGAACAAAACTAGAAGATCCACCAGTGGTTTTGGAAGTCAACATTTTGCACGTGGATAGCAACCCGCGGCTGTGCGAGACTCTGATGCGAGAGATGCTCACTTATTTCAGGGGCCTTGGTACACTAGCTCGGGCCAGGGGAATTGTAGATAGGGGGACGGATATACGGCCTTGGCATATCGCGGCAGCGGAGAAGGGCGTCCGGGCATTATACCTCTTGATGTGATTGGGAACGGAGGTTTTGAGGTAGACTTCCTTTGGGTCCAAGAATGGCGTTAGACATGGCGTTGGACCTTTGATTGTACACGTAAAGAACAGAGTCAAAAGGCTCGGAATTCATCATCATCATTCATCGCTGTCATATGTTCATGTGCACCGCTCTTTAAATTGTTCTATTCCTGATCTATCTTTCTTCCCGGCCAGTTGATGCCCCGGGAGAAGTCTATGCTTATAAAGCGTCCATATGATATAAGTCCACGCTCATTTTGGCCAACCCATATTAACACCATGTACTGAAATTCCATCATCAAACTACAAAACAAACCCAGCCAGCAAGGGCAACTTTAGTTCCAGAAGCCGGGGAAGAGGAACTCGACGTTCTTCATGGCCTCGGGGTTGCGGCCCTCGGGCTTGGTCATGAACTTGACGGCGCCCTGGGACGCGCCCTCCCAGTGCTTGGCCAGGACCATCTCGCTGTGCTCCTGCTTGGCCAGCTCGTCGAGGACGCCGCCGACGAGGCGCTTGGCGTTCTCGCCGTTGGCGGCCATGTACTTCATGACCATGGCGACGTCGACGTCCTCGAACGAGTGCCAGCAGTCGTAGTCGGTGGCCATGCAGATCATCTGGTAGGCCATCTCGGCCTCGCGCGCGAGCTTGGCCTCGGGGAGGGCGGACATGTTGATGACGCTGCCGCCCCAGGAGCGGTACATGTGAGACTCGGCGCGGGTCGAGAACTGGGGGCCCTCTGTGTGATGTGTATGTCAGCAAGACCCAAACTTCTGCATTTCGTACGCATGAAGGGAAAGCACTGCTTACCCATGCAGATGATGGTTCCCTTGTCGTGGAGCACGACGCCGTCGCCCTGCATATGCGCGGCGCACTTCTTGACGACCTCAGCCAGGCCCTTGTCGAAGGGGTCCGCGAAGCCGACGTGGCCGACGACGCCGCCCTCGAAGAAGGTGAAGGGGCGGATGCCCTTGGTGCGGTCGATGACCTGGTCCGGGACGACGAAGTCCATGGGCTTGATCTCCTCCTGCAGGGAGCCGACGGCGGAGAAGGCGATGACGCAGCGGACGCCGATGGAGCGCAGGGCGGCGATGTTGGCGCGGGCGGGCACCTCGTGCGGCGCGAACTGGTGGTGCAGGCCGTGGCGGGCGAGGAAGGCGATGGGCACGCCGGCGTGCTCGAGGATCATGATCGGGGAGGACGGCTGGCCCCACGGCGTCGTCGGGTTCAGGGCGGCGACGGGCGTGTAGCCCTCGAGCTTGCCGAGGCCGGTGCCGCCGATGACGGCGATGTGGACGGGGCCTGGTATGAGGCAATGTTAGCATTGTGTTCTCAGTCGCGCGCGCGCGCGCATTCGCGGGTAGGAGCTTGAGGGAGGGAGAAAAGCATGTCGATGAGCTTGCTTACGGTCGAAGGTAGTAGGAAGGTCGGCCATTGTGTCTAAGGTATTGATTTTCGCGGGGGAAGGGGTATCACGATTCTAAGATGACAGATTCAAAGACAAAACAGACGACAGCTTCGAGCTCAACCGGATATAGAATTGTGACGACCTGGGTGGATGGTAAGAATACCGAACCTTTTTTTCAAGGACCCCGCCGAATTTTACCCCGCCATCCCACGCACTTCTTCAGTGCCCCGCCATTGCGACCTCCCGGGCGTCCCGCATTTTCATGGTCAGCATAATGTCCCCGCCTGGATGGCCAATCTTCTGAGCACGTGTTGAAGATCATGCCTGGGGCACATGCATTTCTAGAAACGAGTTATCTTGAATCGAGAGGCCTGTGGTGTTAGCACTAATATTGAGCTTCTGGACAGGTTCTGGACAGGGGTTGAGGGGTTCTCATATGCTCTTTTCATCTGAGGTATCTAGCTCTCTAGACTTTTTTGCTGGTCTTCATCCGAACTCCAACCCTAGTACATACAGACAAAATTCATTTCTATGCAAAGCAAACCGGGGCGTCGTCATTTATTTGCTCTCCTCAGCTGGGCGCACAGGCAATTCCGTCTCCTTGGCCGCGCCATCCTCCTTCTTGGCTCCGCCGGGGTAGCGAGAGCCCTTGTCCTTGGGCTGCTTCTTCTTCTTCTTCTTTTCATCCTCAACCGGCGGGTAGGCCTTGACTGTGACTTCCTGCCACTCCTGGGAGGCCTGGAAGGAAGCTTGGATGGGTGCCAAGAGCGCGTTGAGAGCCTTTGTGACGGCCGGCTTCAGCAGCTGGGGCGTCAACTGCAGGGTGTTAGCATACAGTCAAAATCCGCTTTGATACGTCCTATGCTTACCACATCGTTCTTGTAGTCCTCGTGCATGGCAGCAATGTCGGTGTAAACCAGAGGCTCGAGGCCGTCACGCTCACGCTCGACGGTGAACTCCTTCTTGCCCTTCAGGGCGGCTGCGGGGAGCAGCACGTACTCGACAAAAGACAAAACACCGTTGCCCTCGGCGACCTTGGGCACACACTCGGCCTTGCGGAGCTTCTTCTGGACGACTTCAGGGGCATCGAGAAGGTCGATCTTGCTGTCTAAGGGGCCGTGTCAGTATGTGCATACGCCGGCAATCACTCATCAAACTTACCAGGGTCGCTTGCGCTCATCTTGCCGCCGTTGAGACCCGGAACCATGGGGTTCAGCAAATGCGCGCGGACCTTGTAACCAATCTTGGGCAGCCATTCCGTTGCCGCCGCGAACAGCTTCCTCTGATCCATGCCTACAGAAGTCAGTCGAGGGTGGTGAGAGACAAGTCAAGGGGTCCAATACCTCCAAATTGCGCATCAACGCCCAGGTGCTGCTCGTCGCAGACCTGGAGGACAGGGTAGAGCAGACCACTCATGGGGGCGTTCTACCGGCGTGTTAGCCCAATGCCCGGCACGATGGAACGGGTGCTCTCACGTCTGACTGCTTGACAACCTCCGCACCAGCCTTCTTCGCATCTCTTTCGCTGATGAGCGAGCTCATCTTGTAGATATCCATAATGTACTCGGGGCTCTTCTGGTAGGAGCTGCCCAGAACAAAGTTGAGCTTCTCGGTGGAGACGCCAACGGCCTGAAGGATGTTCGTGATGGCGAACTTGTAGAACTTGGCGCGCTGCTCGACGAGCTCAATCGGGGCCTTGAGGTTGTCGAGGAAGCCGTGGATATCGGCGAGGAGGACCGTCATCTCGCAGCCGGCAGCGAGGAATTGCGCCAGCTTGATGGCCGGGACGAAGTAACCGCAGTGCGGTCTGCCGGTTGTCGCAGTACCTGCAGCGCATTCGGTCAGCCAATGCATGACAGCATAGCTGGAAGAAAAGAGTTCAAGTATGCTTACCCCAGTAGATCTTGGGGTTGCGTCCCTCGGCCAGAATCTTCTCAATGATCTCGGGGTTCATGACCTCAGCCAGGTTCTCCTGGATGAGGGCGAACCTCTCCTGGGCCGTTGCGCCTTCCGCCATGTTGAAGTCGGTATGAAATTCGTAAACGTCGTAAACGGGGGTCGAGGGGAGTTGCGGCGGAATTCGACGAGACGCAAGAAGCGAGATCGTGGCAGGATCGGTAGGTCGAGATCTGACGGTCGAGGACTTACGGATTTATCTTGTCGGGTGAGTCAAGCCGTGACTCGTCGCACAAGTGGCCCGTTGGACGGCAGGACACTGCAGCAAAATTACCCCGCCGAGGGGAGGTCGTCGGAGCCCACGACGGACACGGCCGATAGAGGGGTCTACAGGGGCAGAAGCCCCACGATTGGGCGATTTCAGGGGGCCCAGCGCTCCAAAATTTCACAGGGCTCTCAACCCAGAAGAGCAGTCGCATCCGGGCGTACAGGCTCGCATTCTTCGCACAGGACTCAGAAGGTTGAAATGTAGCATGGATTAAGATAAAGTTGGTCCCTCATGAAGAATTTGGGATTTATGATACAGAATATCAATAACTCAGTCCAAGGCTCAAGTTGAACTTGGGCAAATGTCTCCCCGTTGTTAGAACCTTCCGCTGGTTCAGCAGAGCCCTCGATCCGGCAGTTGGTCTGTGTGTATCTGCTTACCAATTTTGAGTGCAAAGATACTTGGGCGGAAATTTTCCTCGTTGGTGACCTGCCCCGTCTGTCATCCTCGAGCCGCCACCCTGTCCGACGTATCTTGATTTTACATGAGAACTGTGACTTGATGCAAAAGTTTCCTCCGCCGCCTTCATCTCACTTCCAGCGTAATTACTAATCGAAGGTTGTTGGAATTCACTCTGGCGGTGCCCTTGCCATGTTCACCAAGTCTCGCACGCTACCCCATCTTTTAGTCTGAAAAGTGATTGCCAAACTCACTTCCTTACTACCACGGAGCACACACCATCTCACGACACAGCAGCCATGACGGTAGACACAGCACCGTCGCTGCCGGTGGACCTGGAACTTGACGATGGCACGCCCGGCTCTGAGTCCATCGAGGAGCGCTGCTTCTCAGCCGCCCTCATCTGCCTCGAAGGCCACTACACCATACCGCCCATGGGCCCCCAGACCGCAGCCAGGGTCTCATCCATGATAGCAAAGACCCTTGAGAAGACACACACATTCAAGCATGTGAGGTAGCTTGCTTCAGTTCTGCGTCCTGGGAACCCTGAGACATATCTGACAAGAACCAGGGAAACGTTGTCACGAAACGTCGAGATTTGGATATGGTTGACAAAGATTTTCGGCGCCGCCATCCCCAGCCTCACCACACGCTCAGTAGGCCCGCTGTCAAGTCTCAACGACCCCGAGAAGGGCGTCACCCCGCAGGAGAGCACGGCTCTCATCGTCAAGAACCACCACAGCCTCAAGGATGACCTCTCCATTCTCAACAAGCTCATGCACATCGCGAGGAACCTGCTGGTGACGTCGGAGCCCGAGGTCCCGCAGGACATTTGCGCCGCTGTCCACTTTGACCAAATGGTGTACCAGACCATCATTCTCTGTGTTAACGTCACGAGCAAGGGCTACGACGGCGAGATTCTGGACGAGACATCACGCGCAAAGTTGAATGAGATTACGGACATGTACAAGAAGCTGCTGGTCACCTCTCTCCAGCAAGCACACAACTGGACGGCCAAGAACGACCGGAACAAAATGTCCTTTTGGTACGACGTTCTCTTTGACGAGGACGCCCAGCTGGATGACCCTCAGGACGGTCTCGGCGACGGCTCTGGATTCCGTGTCGACGTCGCAAAGACGGAGATCCAGCACTGGCTTGAGCGCAACTCCAGAATGTGCGACACAGCCCGCAAGCTCCTCACAGACTACTCCCAGAACAAGTCTCACAAGCCGCCCGGCGTCCTGGCTCCCATCGCCCCCCTGGCCTGGAACTGGTTTCCAGAAGGCCAGGTCAAGGTTCGCGCTGACAACTACAAGGAGGGCGAGCGCGTGACGCCGACGTGGGACCCTGAAATCCAAGACAAGTTCGAGCAGGACCGCCTGTATTGCCGAGTCTCGAGGGAAATCGACACATGGTGGTTGCGCGCCCGAGACGCAAATTACGAGGGCTGGCAGGTCGCCATGCCTTCCGTCGACTTTGCAAAGCAGCGGACAGAGCACTGCAAGAGCAACCTCATCAACCGCTACACACCCATGCCCGTCATGCGCTCGGGTGAGGAGGCAGAGGTTGTCGAGGTCGAGGAGTCGGAAGACCTCCCGGAAGGCTCGCCAGAGGAGTATGCCGAGGACTACCACCACGTGGAAAACCTGGACGACATGATGGACGACGACGACATCGACGACGACGAGTCCTACGGCGAAGGACCCTTGACCGGCCTCCTCACGGAGATCCCCAACATCCTCGACCCCAAGCAGATCGAGGCCCTCCACATGATTGTCAAATCCTGCATCCTCGACTCCGCCGGCACGGGCCTCACCCACGCCGGCGAGAACCTCCAAAAGACGCGCTGCCGCATGTTCCTCGCCCTCGACTGCGGCAAGTCTCTCCTCCGCGAGATGCTCGTCTTCATCGCCGTCTGGGAGAAGGACGAACAGTCCCTCATCTTCCAAATCACCTCCCAGCTCATCGAGGCCCTGCACCACTCCGCGCTCGTCCCCTACGCATGGAACTCCCTCCGCATCCCCAAGGACATCATCTCTCCGGCGCAGACCGTCCTCCTCCGCCTCGTCAACCACATCTTCCGCTCCCGCATCAGCAACCCGCCCCAGGACAAGAAGGACCAGGACCGCGACGTCAAGCTCGTCATGTTCTTCTTCAGCTTCTTCCGCTCCCGCATCGTCCCCGAGTGCGTCGCCCTCATGCACCTCCAGGCCCAGATCCGCGAGGAGAACGTCGACCCGGCCGAGTTCCCCGTCGACACCTGGGACATGGAGCGCGCCAAGGACGGCCTCGCCCAGTACCTCGACTTCCTGACCACCGCCTCCGAGATCGCCGAGTCCCGCAAGAAGCTCATCGAGTGGGAGGCCGTCTACGACCTCATCACCCTCCTCAACGGCCTCGAGGCGGGCGTCCCCAAGAAGCCCCTCGTCGACGCCGTCCCCAGCCGCAACCGCCCTCCTCCCGCAACCACTCCCCCAGACCAACAACAGCAAAACAGCGCCGGCTCCACCCCGATCGTCGAGCGCCCCTACTCCACAAACGAGAGCCTCCCCCCTTCCCCGCCGCCGCCGTCCCTCTCCGACCCGGCGCACAAGTACCCCTGGTCCGGCATCAAGGGCCAGATCTTCACCATCCTCGCCACCCTCCTGCAGCCCCCGCCCGGCCAGTCCTCGCCGGGCAACCCGGAGGTGCAGAACCAGATGGTCAATCACAACGGCATCGTGCCCCTCCTGAACTGCTGCGCCTACGACGACCACAACCCCTTCGCCAAGGAGCGCGTCACCATCTGCCTCAAGTGGCTCCTCGACGGCTGCGAGGCCGCCAACAACTTCTTCCGCGAGCTCGTCAACCTCGCCCCCGCGCCCTCCCTGCGGCCCCCGCCCGGCGGCACCACCACCTCCACCATCCGCGTGGACGGCATCGCGGGCGAGGTCAAGGTGCAGGTCCGCTCCAACTCTGCGCCGGCGGCTGGTGACGGCGGTGGGTCCGAAGGCGGCGACGGCAAGAAGCACGTCCACGATCCCTACGGCTTGGTGGACAGCGCGGCGAGGCTGAATCTCTCAAACAAGAGGCCGGAGACGAACGAGCCTTTCAATGACGACGACTTTATGTAAATAGGTTCCGGTTCTTCAAGGGCATATCGCGATGGGTGCATTGCTGGCGTTACAAAGGCTGGGGAAAATTGCAATTTTGATTCTGTTTATAAAGGGGTGTAGTAGGTGTGTTCTAAACGAGCGAACATCAACACCTGGCTAAAACAAACATATCCAACCCAAATTTCCTTTTTGTTAAAAGAAAGAATGAAAGGAGTCAGGTGCCATTGTGTGTCCTGTGATCCAGCAAGCCTCCTGTTCCTTGTTTCCTCCTGTGCCCATTGAAGCAAAGTGAACGCTGGTTGCACAACATGGAAAGCTGACACGCGAACCCAAACAGACTGGGAAATAAACAATTTTACACATCAAGTCCCCCAGCCAGCAGGGCCGACTGACACTGACAATGATAACCCCAACCAGGCTTCACCTGCGAAAGCCGCAGCGTGCGCCAGACTGGTACGGATATGGGTTGTACCGGTACTCAGGGGCGATCCTGGCGTTCTGCTGGACCGGCTGCTCCCCCGGCCGGAGGACGACAGAGTACGAGGACTGTGGATGGACGGGGTGAGGCGAGTGCATCTCCGCGCCGTGGCCCGTCTGCTGCGCGGTCTGCCTCAAGATGTCGTCAAAGTCGAGGTGCGACGGGCCGGGGGAAGCCCCCGTCTGCTGGTGGCTCGGGCCCATGGGCGAAGCGGCGGAGACCTGTCCCCACGTCCTCTCGGGCTGGTGATGCTCCCAGGAAGGCAGCTGCGAGCTGTGGTGGGCTTGTTGGTACATGGAGATGCCGGCAGAGACCTGGGGGCTGTAGTAGGACGACTCGTGGTCGAGCTCCGGGCTCATGCTGGCGAGACTGTGGGACGGGCTGTTGGGGCCGCCGCCGTCGTCTGGCGAGCCGAGGCCGATGAGGGTCGGGCTTGCTTCCATCTGGATCCCGCTCTGCTGGGACAGGCGGCGGACGTTGCGTTTCTTGCAGTTGTATTTGCCCAGTTGCCACTTATCGAACTGCTGGCGGTACGACCTAGTTCTGAGCAAACGGTTAGTTGGTCCCTTTCTCTGGCCCCCAACTTTTGCTGCTGTTTTTGCACTTGTATGAGACCATCGGGGGAGTTGTGCCCACTTGGTTGTGGGAAATATAACTAACAGGAGGGGAATTAACTTACGATGCCTTGAAGCTATGCTCCCTCTGCATGATATCCTTGACTTCCTCCAGAGTCCGGGACTCCGTGATGTAGAGCCTCGTGATGGTGTCACGGTACTCCTTCCAGGCTTTCGTCATGATTGCGCCGGCCGAGCAGGAACTCTACGAGTTGACGATTGGTTCATTGAAAAGAAACCATGGATAGGGGCATAGATACCGAAAGAGGAATCGAGTGACGCTAGCTACGGTGACATTTGATGGATTGTAAGATGTTTGGCTGGGAAACTCAGGGATTAGGAAACAGCTTGTTCAGCACTATGTATATGATATTCAAATCAGGCTGTAGCAGGTGTGCTTGTTGGCTTATCCATCACTGCCCATCACTGCCCATCACTGCGATCTTAGCCCGTTCAGAGGCTGTAAAGTTGGGGCTGACGACGGTAATTCCTCATCAACGTATCTGCCTTAAAGCCTCTCGCGTAATAACATCTCTTTCGCTCATGCTGCAAAACAAAACAAATGCATGGGTAGGGATGATTCTTCAATCGTCTAAAGAGCACAATTGCGCGGGAACCATGACGGAACGGTGCGAGCAAATCTGCCTTTCTCACTCTCGGCAGCCTTGACTCTCGTTCAAGGGATCAGAAGGCTGCGCGGAAGGTGGTGTGGACGCAGCACACCATTCATGACCTACCCCCTCACCTAACCCCTCACCGAGAAATCTGCAAGGCATTGCAGGTCAACCAAGGTGTGGCAGTCGGTCGTTGGAGACTTTTCCTTGAGTGCTTCAATGTGCACCTGCGCGGGTGTTGAAATTCTGGTTCCCTTCGTCATCACCGAATCGCGATTAGAACCGTGCTTCCTCCTGAGTTGACTCATAATATTGCCTCTTCTTCGAACAGAATATGTCGCAGTTCCTCCTGTTCTTCGTTAGCCAAATCGGGATTCCACTCCGGTAGGGTCGAGCAAAAAGACCGGGCGGCTTTGCACTTATACCCATGCCGTGAGGCTTCCCAACAGATTGTGGATGGCCACGTGAATCGCCTGCAGGTTTCAGCGCCGTGTCTCGGCGTCGCTAATCGCTAGGCAGACAGTCGATGATGTGAATGTCTGGACGTCAGATATCTGTATCCGACTCGTACAGCGATCTTTTCACTCGCGCTTAGATCCTGTATTCTGTACGGAGGAAGCGAGGGAAAAATGGGGGAAGGCTCAAATAATAATTCTGTTTCATTAAAAGCTATTCATTGCCATAAACAAGTGGTATCCTCCAAAACGCATGCGCCAAGGTGGCAGCAACGAAAGCATGCTGGCATAAGGCTGTGTGTAGCTTGAAGGGGGTGGCCAATCAGCCGAACACTACTGCGCGACTGCGGCGAAGTACGCCTCGTCACGAGGCTCAATGTGTAAGGCAACCGGGGACGGAACCCTCTCAACATAACACCGCCTCGCTTTTAAGATAGGGCGGAATATGGCGGGCTTCTGTCGAAATCTGGGGCTGACGGGGTGTGCGTGGGGGAGCGACGAGAAGAAAGATGGTGGCCACCGAATCCCTTAAGCCTTCTTTTCCTCGACAGGAGGCGTCTTGGTCGCAGGGATGGCGGCGCCCGAGGAAGGACCGTCAACCGGACTCAAGATTTCTGGGCTGGCGGTAGGATCGGCCCCAGTGACCCCGGCCTCTTGGCCTTGGTGAGCGCTAGACTGAGTGTTGACTGTGGGAGACACTGCAGCGAACTTCTCATCAGAGGCCATAGCCGGCGAGGTGGGGACCGAGTCCGGAGCAGCAGGGCCAGTAGCTCCCGCAACATTCTTGATAATCTCAAACCACTTCTCGGCATCCGCAGGGGTGTGCGCCTTAAAGGCCAGTTCTGCACTGCCTGTGAGCTTGGCACTCATTGAGCCGCTCTTATCCTTGCCCTTAACGTTGAACTTGTCACCGTTGGGTTGGCCAATCACAGCGTCCGGGAGGTAGATGGACAGATCTGGCTTGGGGTCCGCGCGGGTGTTGTCAGAGTCCTTGAACTCGTGCAAGAACTTGGCCGGGGTTACGACGTAGTAGCCGGTAGAGTAACCCCAAGACAACTTGTTACGCGACTTGCGCTCGAGAGAACCCTCGATGAGGGGCTTGACACCCGAGTGGTCCATGTTGGGGAACGTGACAGACTCGACGGATCGCGGAGCATCGTTGGGGTTGACCAGACGCTCGCCGCTACGGGTGACGAAACCCTTCCACTCCAGATCGGGAGGAACTCGCTGGACCGCGCCGAGCATGTCAGAGTACAAGGCACGAGTCTTCTCGGCCTGGCCTCCAGTCAATTGCACAAAGGCCTCCATGCTCTGCTGAATAACCTCGATAACGTGAGCCTCGAAGGCCTCGAAGTTGTTCTGGACAGCAATAAGGTCGTTGCGGTTGTTGTTCTCCTCCAAAACTTGCTTGTGGAGTCTGTGCAAGACACCCCGGTGGACGACGTAGGGGTCATCTGAACCGTGCATCTTGCCGCCGGCCGACTCGAAAGCAGCGGTTTGTTGACCAAGGAGCTCAATGTGCTTCTGGGTGGTGTTGCGAGCCTTCTCGACCTCTTTGGCACTCTTCTGGGCACCGTGAGCGAGTTCCTTGCCCTTGTGCTTGATCTCCTTGTGGAGACGCTCAAGAACCGGCAGAACAGATCCCTTGATGCTCTTTTCCGTCTCGAGGTTGGTGTTGATTATAGCCTGGGTGTTGGAGCGCATGTTCTCGAAGTAGCCCGCAATGCCGCCGAGACTCTGGTCAAAGTGATGACCCTCCTTTAGGGGATGAGAGATGACCTTAAGCGCTCTCTCATACTCCTTCGACTGAGCCTTGTGGATCTTTTCGACGGCCTCCATGTAGTCCTCTAGATATCCAACGGCGTGCTTCCAAGCCTGGAGTCGCTCGGCGAGGAGGCCAGCGGTCTACGCGCAAAGTGTAAGCTCGTGCTAAAGAGGGATGGCAACACCTAAAAGGGAAATCGACAAGACGACTGTAGATTTCGGCTGACATCCAATGACGGGCCAAGCAGTTCAACTTACGCTGGTAGGGTCGACTTCAGGGACCGCATCGTCGGTGGTCGAGGTGGTCTTCACGGTCGCCGACCTCGTCGGCAGCGCCTTGGTGTCCGCCATAGTTTCGATGTGCAATTGTGAACAGGAATGCGTGGGGTATTCGAGCTGTCAGGTCCGACAGATGGGTATCGCAGTGTAAACAGGGTCGCTCAAGTGCTCCTGGCAAAAGGATTGGCAAGGGAAAAGTGCAGCAAGCAGGGCGGACGAGGTTATATCGCAAAAAGGGCGGCAGTAGTGTAGTGTAGCTGTCCAGACCGTCGTCCCTTGCCCCCCCCTTCACTTTCCCCTTCCCCGCCAGTGACAGCTGGTAATTAAACCGCCCAAGCTCCTGCACGAACACACTCGAATGACGTTCTCCACCGCCGCCGACAACTTTTTTGGCCCTAGCGCCAGTCAAAAGTGGAGTTGTCTGGACCCCCTGTGACGATCACGACTCTTCTCAGGGAACACAAATCCAAGCTTTCTCATTTTGCTGTGCTGTGCTGGGTGCCGGTGCAGCTGAAAGTGACCCCCAACTCGGACGGGCAACATCTGTCGCGCTTGCTTGGGCTGAGAAACTTCCAGCTGTCCAGGGCCTTTCTTTCGCGCTGGCACCATCAGGTGTTCCCCATTGCGACACGCTAGAGTGAAGCCAAGCGGTGATTCCGAGTAGTTATGACGTCAACACAAAGTGAACAGTCCCCTACTTTCCATCACAGATTAGACGATCCTCCCCTATCAGTCTTGCCATGCCATCAGAGATGATAGCGCGGCCGCCGTAGACACGTGTGTCAAATAACAATGTTGTTAAATCGAGGCCGTGGCAATGTCGCACTTGCTGGGGTACCCTTCGTTGGAGGAACAAGCTTTTCAATCTTCCAGAGGCGCGGCATTGAGATGACGGCCGACAGCATTTGGGAGCAGGGTTGCATCCTGGACATCCATCCGGAGGCATTGGACGGAAGTCGACGGGCAGCGACACGAACCGATTGGTCTTATGTCATGGTCCAGACCCTGATGACAGAATATCGTAGAGTTCGGAGTGACTGATTAAGAATATTCGGATGATGGTGTTGGGTCGAAAAGCACAGCCCAAAGACTCTTCTGATGGGTAGCCAATCAGGGGATGGTGGTGTTGGGACGCTATTCACGAGCCCGTGAGGCCTCCACACCAAGGAATAATCGTCTTGGTCTGAGAGACAAGGCCAAATGGATGTCTCTAAGCCACTGACTATCGTCTATATCTTCATGACAGTGTTGCCCAGATGAGGCGGGTAATGGAGGACGATGGTGGATATGGAGACAAAAAGCAAACCAAACAGACCACCCATTCTGACCATGTCTGCGCGGCTATGATTCCTATGCACCTCATTACTTCATTCATGGACGGCATATAATAGAGAAGACGACGATGACAACGGTAACGACCGACGACGTCGAAGACGGCGAGCACGCGTGAAAAGTAGTAGCTCTAGCACAAGAACAGTATTGGGTCCTATTTCCACTTTTATCAAACTCTTAAGCCCCGAGTATCTGTAAGAAATACAGTCCCATGCACACGGGGGAAACAGGCGATATATCACCAGAAACTGCAAAACAGCTAAAGCTTGTGTAACTCTCGGTAACACCTGCAGCAATCACCACCAAAGGGTGTCCATATAGTGAACCGATCAAACCACCCTGTCCCAGATCTAGATCGTGCACACTCCGTCCATATCAGTCACTCCTCCAAAACGAAGCCAACGTAACCAACAGTTCCGGCCCCAGAAAACCTCAAATGACACCCAGCCCGACTCATCAGCGCCAGCCGTATAACCAGAAACCGAAAACACTGTGATTAGCCCTTTTTTGCCGCGCAAATCAAGTAAGCGCTTGCTGAACGGGCTCGAGAGTTTTTAGCCCACTAACACCATGCGCGCGTGCGTTGATCCCCGCGATCCAAACGGTCTGGAATCTCGCATGGCCGCTGCAATCAAATCCGACATCGGCCGGTGGCCCCCGGCGAAGTGGACCCTCTCGCCGTGCCGCATCCTCGGTACTCTAGCGGGGCCCATCCTATTCCGAGCTGGCGTGGCCCG